TTGTCCATGCACCTTTCATCTGCACTGGAACTGTTGTCAATAAAAATAAACTTCAGTTTAGAAATTTATTCTAGTAACCAAAAGCAGGGTATCTCTTTATCACACAAATCAAATTGCCATTGTTCTGTTCCATTCTGGACAATAGGGGACCCTCTCAGCAGAACTCGATTACCTGCTATAGTTCATTTTAACCATTGACAGCGACATTACACTGAAGCGTGCAGCATGACAAATAGCGGGAGAGAAGACACAAACTAATCACTCTGCGTCAGCTCTAACTGTCCGTGCTCTTTGATCTTGCTGCATGTGATGATGCCCACCAAATTAGCACGAAAGCGTGTCCCTACAAAGGCAGTCAACTTGGCTGCAAGCAGTTAGCTCACTGCATGTGTAGATTTTCTTCAAAACACCGTGAAGACTGATTGCTGGTCGAATATCCAAAGACGTGAAAAGTAATATACCAGGTATGATATTGGTATTTCAGCACTGGACACTTTTGCGATAAGAGAGGATGGAGGAGAAAATTATGAACCCTCAATTGTTTAATTTTTGAAGGAGCAGAGTACAGCGCTTTTGGGTCAAAAGGGGAGTGAAAGAAGCAAGTGCGAAAGCCTACTTCTCAAAAAACTAGTACCCGCCACCACGCATAATGTCAGGCCGGGCAACCTCTTGAAAAAAAAAAGTGCTCAGTGATTCTGCGAATCGAACCAAGTACCTCCTAGATTGTAGTTGAGCGCTGTAACCGCTCGTCCACTGCAGCAGTGCTTGCATTCGCCCTATTGCTGGTATATCGTCAATCCTTCGAATGTAGCCAAATGCAAAAACGTCCCGTGAAACTTTGTCAAAAATAGAAAAAATAGTTAGAATGCGTTTTCCCAAGGTTACTAGAAGATAGAAACCGCCACGTGTGACTGTATAACCGTGCGCTATTTATTCTTGTACATTACTGTCATTACGTTTGGATAGCCGGCTCTAACGTACGCTACCTTCTCATAGTTTGCCAAATATAGATAAGAAAATAAAAACATATATCGGCCTGTGACAACGCTAATCAACTATTATGAGTTCACTGTCACTAGTGTCACTTTCACTAGATGAATGCTCAGTTTGCTTCCATTATCGTTATTTAGGAAAGTTTTGGCTCATTAACTCAACTCTCTTAATTAGCATTGATTCTCACACCTAAGGACAGTCAAACATCATCTCGCTTTCTGAGTGGCTGTCACTCCCATATAACGCGTACTCCACTTTTTTATGCTCTCCGAGCATCTGACCCTGCTTTGCGGAGACATTCCCTGACGTCTGCTGGGCCAGAAAATTGTCTTTATTATCTATCTATCAATTTCAAGCTTTCGCGAAGCCGAAACGAGAGTCTCTCTCTCTCTCTTTTCATCCTTTTCGCACGTGTGATAACGTCTCTCGACCTCAAGACTCGTATACACGTCCCTTGCTTCGTTTGCGCACTCAAACAACGCTGGGCGAAATATTTGCACCGTGTTTTGTGAAAAGCATTAGCACTGAGACACCTCCCGACGAGTCTCCCTCATTTTACGTAGACATATACCTAAGCGTAAGCGTATGCACGTTCTCGCACTCCGGCTTTATAAAAACGCTGCGGTGCATGGAACCAGCAAAATTGCGCTCACAATTTCATTTGATTACTGCTGTTATCTATTTCCGCACAATTCGTCTGCAGGCACCAAAGTTGCTCATGTGTCTTGTAATAAGAATATTGTTACAAAGACTACCTTTAACTATATGTGCAAAACACCCTTACGTTCACCACTATACCGTGCTAGATTGCACCGAATTAGTTAAGTATCAGCGCAGCTTCAATGAAATGCAAGGTAACTGGTCGTGTTAAATAGGAAAAGACATTCGAGGCACATTTTCAAACATTGCATGCATCGATTTATGTGTGGTTTAATTTATGTGGTGCACCTGGAGTGGTGTTTAGTTGTACTTGGCGAGATAGTGCATGGATTACTAGGTGGCTTAAGGCCATCGAGCAATTATTTTTTTAGCTACAGTCGTTAATTAAAGGCGAGTGCTTGGCTTTGCACAGCCCACCAAAACGTCTATTACAACGTACGCGGCATCCCGTAAGCGCTGTAGCAGACGCTCGCGGAACTGAAACTTAGATGCAGCAAATCATTGGCTATCATTTTATACTCTCGATGCTAGACGCTTTGCGTGCTACCTTGATGTTATCGGCACACACTTCTTTCTTTCCTTGTCGTTTCATCGGCTATCGTGTGTCCTCCTTGCCCTCTTAAGTGCCGAATAAGTTAAATTCATACCCGCGCTATAGTAATCCCTCCAGATAAGAGAACTTTTGGCTAAGAAAATGCGTAGCCAAAGAGAAAGCTTTGTGAATTCAGCCCCTGTTTTTTTTTATTTCTTTGCTGTCTTGTTGTCATTGCGCTGAGGCGATGCGTGAATGGTCTTTCCTGTCATGTGCGTCCATCACGGCCAAACTGTACACGCTTTTCTCAACGCTTCTTCTCATCGCGTGACTCTCAATGCTTCCGAGTTGATGTATGCACAGACGCCTATGACAATGAAATAAAATTGAGGCGCGCTCAATACGCGCGTCGTTCATTTCTTTCTCTCATTCTCGAATGCCGCCTTTTCGCGCGTCACGAATAATGTATCGCCCACCCTGGCGCAATCCTCCTCCCCGGTTTGTGCAGATGGTTTTCCTCGATCACGGCGTCGTCTTTCTTTAAAATCCACCTTAGCGACAGCGCTTCCCGTGGAGCGGCACCGGATGGACGAGCAAGCACGAGGCTGTTTGGAATCCCGCCGATAGGCGATGCGGTGTTGCACCTGCGACCCCAGTACGACAGAGGCCGCTCGGATATACCGGTTGGCACGCAGTCGCACCAAGCCGACGAGGCCGGCAACACTGCGGGGATCTTTGCTGGCCCCTCGCGTAACTTTCGCGGACACGAATACGCCGCTATGGAGACTGTAAAGAGTCGTTACGTTGTGCGAGGCATAATCCGCCGATAAGCTCCCGCGCCGGGCCTTTATCCCCCCTTGTAGGCACGAGCGAGCTAGCCGAAGCGAAACGGGACAGCGAAAGTGGACCGGGAGAATTTCGATCGGTGGCCCATAAATGCCCGGAGAGGTGATTAATGAAGAGACACGCCTCTGTTTGCTGCAGCCCGACGAACGTGCTATTTAAGCCCGCGTTTCCCGTGCCGTCACGCGCGTAATCGAATCGCGAAGGTTTTGTTTTACCGTCGCCGCGATACTGAAAGACACATATCCCGGCCATGGGATGAATACTTTGAGATTGGTCTCTATCGGCCCGTTTCGAAGTGTGTATACACCAAATGTGCTGTATATATATATATATATATATATATATATATATATACATATATATATATATATATATATATATATATATATGTAGAGAGAGAGAGAGAAAGAGGCGTAATTCACACAACGAACGTGTCAGCACCGTTTAGTCCATCGTTTCAGCCGCGGGACCGGCCTTCGTCTGGGAAAACAAAACATACAAATCACGTACTTATATATGACAATGATCGAAGCCCCCCTCAAAACACGTTCCCTAGTATAACGAACAAGGATATTCTGTATCAGCACAAAAACGGTTTTCAGGGATAAAAACTATATCTACATAGCACTGTGTGATGTCACACTGTGTCAGTCATTGGCAAGTGATACCGCTTTACGGGAGACACGATTAATCGCGGCATTAAATATGGCATAGTTTTCTTACAAAGATAGTTGGTATGTGAAATATAGGCGTTGCAAATAACAAATAATAATAATATATATAAACAGATTGCTTTCTTCATTTGTATACATTCTCAGCAGAGCGCACTCTAAAAAAAGTTCTACTGTCAAAATAATCGGGTGTGATAAGGAAGCAGGCTAGCGTACGCTTGTTGTACTGTTGACCAAGATAATTTACGTAGAACGAAAACACGTCAATGTGCCTGCATCCTCATTAATACCATCTGCTAAAGTATTAAACTTTCCTATGTCTCGCCTATTTCTTGTCTCATGACATTTAATAAGACACTCATCTAATCAGTAACTGGTTCGCCACGGTAATTAACTTGTTCCGCCATGCCTAAAACGGGCATTTTACTGAAGCCAACTAGGTACACTGCCGTACACTGCGCACGCAGGGCAACTTTATGCGATAGCGTGACGCTAACGAAGCGTTAAACGACCAGCGGGGCGTAAGCGTAACGCAAGGTGATTACCGCCAACGGCTGTTCATTCGCGAGAAAGTCTGTTGAAACACGGGAACATGCCATCATCGACATGCGATACTTCGTATGCCTGGGGGGAAATATTTCTTCCATGTTTATATGTCCCAATAGAGGTGTATCACAAGCAACCGTAAGTTTAGCAAATATGGCGCATATTAGTAACCAAGCTATATGTCAGAACCATTTGGAAGTTGTGCTTTGGTTTACGTTAGGCCATAACTGTAACGTCCTACAAAACACGTCACAGAATTCATCTTAATCAAAGTCTCGTTGTATCTTAGTAAAGTTAGTTCTTCAACATGGTTTCGAGGAGAATGATCATATGCGCAAACTTTACTTTTGAAGTACTGTAGGCGTTCTTGGCATAATAGTCGAATGACCGACATGCTCGATGCAGAGTTTTCGAAAAGTCATACGCAAAGCTTGCGGGCGTAGCGTTAGTGTTGTTCACTTAACGGGAGCCCGCAAGGGGATAGCGTATGACCAATGCGCAGTTGCGGCAAACGCATACCTTAGCGTATGCAATTCTAAAACTTTCCAATATGTTATAGATGGCTGTAAGTGTTTCGCAGCTGTACAGCTCATTTTGCTCATGAATAGGATATGAAGATCCCCATTAGAAGCAGTTATTTTCTTCCGGAACTTTTCAATCACATCGACAACACATATCGATGTACTCAATACTGTCACTTTAGACAAGGAATTCTCTATAAGACGAAGACTTTCGATGCAGCTGATACTTACCACTCACTTTCGACGGCGTCGACGTTCACAAAGATGAAACGGCAAAACAAATCCAGGAGACGACGCCAGTCACTCGTGGACGACACACACGCGCACAACACCGGTCGGGTCCTTCTTCGCGTATGCTCGGCAAACCGTGACGCTTCTTCGCAAGCGTAGCCGTCGTGTCGCGCGGCTCACCGCTTCGCGAAGCCCACTGCGTAGCGTACGCGGCGCCGAGCCTTTCGCCACTCTCTCCGCGAGGGACACACTGCGTCAGGTAAGATGAAGAGAGGGAGAGATTGTCGAGAGGAGGGTTGTGGCCGGTTGGCCAGCTGGCCGAGATAACGGTGGTGCCGAGAGGAGGACGACCAAAACGGCTCTTACGTCGTCGGGGAGAAAGTGGGCTCAGCACAGAACCCGCTCGGCTTGTTCCCCATACGTGGACAGGTGTACACCTTCTCTCCCACATCTCTCTTTCTCTCTCGGTTGAAACGGCGGGAACGACTTTCGGAATGCTCGAGCCGCGTTCCAGAGGAGAGTTAAAAACAAACAAACAAAACAAACAAAAGAGAAACGTACTACCCGACGAGCTGCAAAACCTGCCGTTGACGGGAAGGATGGCCGACGGGGTGGTAATCTGGCAGGGGAGTCGGTCAACCTTTGCTCTCCGCCCTTTCAATTACTCTTTCGTAACTTCCCGGGCATTGTTTTTCCCGCCATATCCTAGATCGTTTATATTGTTTATACACGCGTTTCGGCCTACAACCGCGAGCAGCAGAGGCCTGCGCGATTGACCAGACAAGTCTTTCGGGAAAGCTGTCGACGTTACGCAACCCACATTTTGGCGTGAGCAGGGGGCGGGGATAGCCGAAAACTGTCGCGTCGAGATTGGCTGCCAAAGTTGTGTCGGGACAGTTTCAATCGATGTTCTTTTCTTCAGATTACGTTCTGCAATCGATGCAAGCTTTTAATTTCCTCATCTCCACGGTAATCCGAGCAATAATTTTTTGGTCTGTTGTGCCTATCTTCAGTTGAGGGCTGCCGCTGGGCTTGTTTGAAACGAAGCAGGAACTCAAGCTAAGTGAAGCCAAAAGTTGTTATATTTCATTGAAAGTTGGTCCCAGATTCGCACCCAAATAACACTGAAGCTCCATTGCGAATCGAACTTTAGTACTTTTGCTATTACGTATTTCAACGTGCAGAACTCCCTGAGTCGCGTTTCGTCGTTGTAAGTACCCGAACGAGCATAGCAAGGACAGGTGCGTCAAGCGTTGGTTCGCCTCAAATGAAAAACAAGGAAACGAAAGCAACCAAACGCAAACACCTAGGGACAAGAAGAAGTCTCGACAACGACGACGACGATGATGATGATGATGATGATGATGATTATACAACATTTTTATTTATGAAAAAAGGAAAAAAAGGAAGGGGTGAATATCAAGGGTAGTTTCCCTATTCCAGGACACCAATGGCCGCTGCAGCTCGCCAGGCTTGATCCAGGAGACCCCTTTGGGTCTTCAGGTCAGGTCGGGCGAGGACGCCTTTCCAAGGCTCCCCCTAGCGTGAGTGTCAGAGGCGACTGAACCTCCATAGGCTTGTTCCGGCAGTCCCATGTGACGCGTTGCAACGTCGGCCGCGACTCGCACCACGGACATTGGTTTACATATGCATTGGGGTTTATGTGACGCCACCTTTCCAAATGTGGATAGGTGTTTCATTCATTCATTCTGTGAAGAGCTTTATTAGTAGTTAACGACAACGGCAAGACAGCGTGATGAACCGTCCAGCAGAGACCGGCACAGCAGCGAGCCGAAGCACGAGACGAGAGAGCCGGGCGTTGGCGATGCTGCTCGCTGCAGGCCCATCTTCTTCTTCACAATCGCCCCCCTTGAAGAAGGAGCCATCCTGGCGACTTAAGAAGTTTCAGGCAAAGGCTCATGGTACGGTTTCAGTCGGGAAACATGGACGATGTCACGTGCACGCCGGCGCATGTCGTCCGATCGCGAAACTGGTTCAATTAGGAAATTAAACGGAGAGGTTTTCTCCAAAACGGTGTAAGGCCCCTCGTACCGGGGGACAAGTTTCGAGGAGAGTCCCGGTGCTTGGTATGGGATGGCAAGCCACACGAGAGACCCTGGGGCATAGCTGGGATCCGGAAGAGAGGTGCTGCAGTTTTCTTTCTGGCGTTGTTGCTCTTCCGTGGTGAACGCACGGGTGAGCTAACGGCACTCTTCGGCTTTCGAGCAGCATCGGAGATAGGTGGACACTCGGAAGCATCAGGACGGTAGGGAAGTAGGATATCAATTGTATGGGAAGGCTCACGTCCGTAAAGAAGAAAGAAAGGTGAGAATCCCGTGGTGGTTTGGATTGCGGTGTTATATGCGAACGTGACGTATGGGGGAACACGGTCCCAGTTGCTATGATCAGATGCCACGTACATTGAGAGCATATCACCTAGCGTGCGGTTGAACCGTTCCGTTAGTCCGTTAGTCTGCGGGTGGTATGCTGTCGTTTTGCGATGAATGACGTGACATTCCGAAAGCAGAGTTTCGACGACCTCGGTAAGGAAAGCGCGACCTCTGTCACTAAGGAGCTCTCGAGGTGCACCATGTCGAAGGATAAAGCGTTGCAAAATGAAAGAGGTGACATCTTGTGCTGTAGCGCTCGGCAAAGCGGCTGTTTCGGCGTAGCGTGTCAGGTGGTCAACCGCCACTATAATCCACCGATTACCATCTGGTGTCAATGGAAGAGGACCGTAGAGGTCAACGCCGACGCGATCAAATGGCTTGGCAGGGCATGGAAGTGGCTGAAATGCGCCAGTCGCACGTGGCGGTGTTGATTTACGTCGCTAGAAGTCAGGACAGCACTGCACGAATTTACGTACAAAATTGTACATGCCGCGCCAGTAATAGCGATGGCGAAGGCGTTCATATGTTTTGAACACTCCGACGTGGCCACATTGCGGATCGTCGTGAAGGGAGGCGCATACTTGCGATCGTAAAGTGCGTGGAATGACCAGCAACCACCGGCGGCCATCGGGAGCGTAGTTGCGTCGATGAAGAAGTTGATCGCTGATGGCGAAATGAAAAGCTTGACGTCGGAGGGATCGAGATACGGGAAGGTTGGGCGTGCCAGATAAGAGAGGCGATCCACGGGTCACGACGTTGTTCGGTGGCAATCGAGTCGAGATTTAGCGATGACAAGGTCTGGAGGCAAGTGTTTCAGCATGGCTGATCTGGTGGTAAAGGTGAGCGGGACAGGGCATCAGCGTCAGAGTGTTTGCGTCCGCAGCGGTATACGACGCGAATGTCGTACTCCTGGAAGCGGAGTGCCCATCGCGCAAGGCGGCCAGAAGGGTCTTTCAACGTGGAGAGCCAGCAAAGCGCGTGGTGATCAGTTACTAGATCGAATGGGCGGCCGTATAAGTACGGCCGGAACTTTCCAAGCGCCCACACCACAGCCAAACACTCTTTTTCTGTCACGCTGTAATTAGTTTCGGCTTTCGTCAGAGTGCGGCTAGCGTAGGCTACAACGTATTCTGAATAGCCGGGCTTTCGTTGAGCGAGGACCGCGCCTAGCCCGATGCCGCTGGCGTCGGTGTGCACTTCGGTAGGAGCCGTCGGGTCGAAGTGGCGAAGAATAGGTGGGGAAGTGAGCAAACGGCGCAGAGTAGTGAAGGCAACGTCACATGCAGGGGACCAGGAGGTGAGGTTCACGTCACCGCGAAGAAGCTGGGTTAACGGTGACATGATAGATGCAAAATTGCGAACAAAGTTCCGGAAATAAGAGCATAGGCCTACTAAACTGCGAAGTTCTTTCATGGTCGTCGGCTTGGGAAATTCTGTGACTGCTCGAAGTTTTGCTGGGTCTGGTAATACGCCGTGCTTGGACACGGTGTGGCCTAGGATGACGAGCTCGCGTGCAGCGAAGCGGCATTTTTCAAGTTAAGCTGCAGACCAGCGTTGGTCAGACAACTCAAAACGTGCCTGAGGCGAAGGAGGTGCGTAGGAAAGTCATGGGAGAAAACCACGACATCGTCGAGGTAACAGAGGCACATATTCCATTTGAGGCCACGTAGCGTATTATCCATAAGACGTTCAAACGTGGCAGGCGCGTTACAAAGCCCAAAGGGCATGACGTTAAATTCATATAGTTCGTCTGGTGTAATAAATGCCGTTTGTTGGCGATCGGCTTCTGCCATTGGGACCTGCCAGTAGCCAGACCGCAAATCTAGCGACGAGAAAAATTCCGCTCCGTGAAGGGTGTCAATGGCGTCATCGATGCGCGGCAAAGGATTGATTGATTGATATGTGGGGTTTAACGTCCCAAAACCACCATATGATTATGAGAGACGCCGTAGTGGAGGGCTCCGGAAATTTCGACCACCTGGGGTTCTTTAACGTGCACCCAAATCTGAGCACACGGGCCTACAACATTTCCGCCTCCATCGGAAATGCAGCCGCCGCAGCCGGGATTCGAACCCGCGCCCTGCGGGTCAGCAGCCGAGTACCTTAGCCACTAGACCACCGCGGCGGGGCCGGGGCAAAGGATAGACGTCCTTGCGGGTTATCTTATTCAAACGACGATAGTCTACGCAAAATCATATAGATCCGTCTTTCTTACGCACCAGGACGACGGGAGACGCCCAGGGACTGCGATATGGTTGAATGACGTCTCTATGAAGCATATCTTCGATTTCATCGGTGATGACGCGGCGCTCTTCAGCGGAGACACGGTATGGTCTTTGACGCAGTGGCTGGTGTAGGCCGGTGTCAACATGATGTTTTACTTGTGATGTGCGGCGCAGTTGAGGTTGCGACACATCGAACGAACTCCTGAACTCATGCAGAAGATCCAGCAGGTCGGCATGTTCGATGGGAGTGAGAGTGTCGGCGATGGCGCTGGAAAACGTATCATTGGACGACTCCCCTAGTGCCGACAGTGCTTTTGGGTGGTCGCAGTAGTCATGCGGGACATCAACCAAAAACGAAGGGTCGAGATCCTGCACGCGGCCGAGACATTCCCCCGCAAGCAAAGTGACAGGTGTGGAAAGCAGATTGCTTACGAACATGTTGCTTCTTCCGGCGGCAGGTCAATTGTTGCGAAAGGCAGCGGCAAAGCTCGACGACATTTGAAGATATGGGAAGGCATAAAAAGGACTGTAGCGTCAGTGTAGGCGTTGCATAAAACGGGAACAAGTGCGAAATTTCCAGGTGGAATATCGGTATCTTCATGAACGA